ATGAAAACATCATCAAAATCATCCTTTTTAAACAATAAATAAGAAATCACAAGGATCAACTTAGAAGCATTTAAACATTTAAACCCTCATTTGAGAAATCTCATCATCTTTGAACCAAAACCAAAACTTTCAAAACAAATTCGATAGAAACACAAAATCAACATTTAACTTGCAAAACATGTATATATAACTCAAGAATATCCCTACCTCAATGTTTGATGAAGAAAATGTGAAACCTTAGCTCCTAGAGTGAGAGAGAATCTCGGATTTCCATCACCCAAGTGAAGCCCCAACCTTAGATCTTCAAGATCTTGAGAGGAATGATGATGTTCTTGACCCAAGATGAGTAAAATCAAAGAGTTTTAGATATTTGAGGTGTTTTCTAGAGAGAAGGAGGAGAAATATATGTTTTAGAGTGAGAGGGAGATGAGTATAATGAGAGATATATTTGGATCAAAATGATACAAAAAACAGAGTTTCGGACGGCCCAGTTGGCCGCTCGTGCGACCATTTTCTCCGCTCGTGCGCTCTTAGACAGTAACAAATTTCTGGGTGTCAAGCTTGGCCGCTCGTGCGGCCACTCCCACCGCTCGTGCGGTACAATACTGCACGTACGGCCTAGGGCTCTGCTCGTGCGGTCCTGGCCCAGCAGCCCAAAGTTTCAACTTCATCCCCGGCACCCCGAACTCACCCGTGCACTCTCCGGAACAAACAAAATTTAACACCGAACAAAAGGACACTAGAACTCCAATCTAGAGAACCATCCCGGACATCTCAAACCCAACGAAGGCACATGGAGAACGAAGCGAAGAAAGAAAGAAGAAGAAAGGAAAGGAACCAGGCCGTCACAACCTTCCCACCATAGGAAATTTCGTCCCCGAAATTTGAATAACTCACCAACAAAAGTGTTCTAGCAAAACGGTCATTTCTACAACATTATGTAATTACAACAATTATGTTCAACCAACATTTATCAGGTCCTATTATCATTATTCTCCAAGGTAATAATTTTCCATTTTAAACATTTGGAATAACACATCCATAGCAATTTATTTTCCTTTCACAACCTCAAACGTAGATTAACAACACACAACAGCACATGATCAACAGCCTTATATTTTTCACTTCAATGCAAAGAAACATTACAATCTGAAATATACATTAAGCATGCTCGAATTAATCCGGATATTTGGAGCGGACTTCTGCCTCCCTTTCCCATGGTGTCTCCACAACACCTACACTACGGTATGGTCTTAGAACACATAATGAATCCCCGAAAGTTGTGGCAGTAAAGCTAACCAGCACGCCACTCCCTTGATCCTCTCCAATAACTCGAAGGCCCAAAGAACCTCGAAGGCCACTGACGCCTCTTACCGAACCTCATCAAACCCCGCCTAGGTGAGATCTTAAGGAACCTACGATTTCCCACTTCAAAGAACAAAGGTTGTCTCCTCCTATCGGCATAACTTTCTATCGGCTTTGGGCCATAACTACCCTCTTTCGAATGAGAGCAACTTTCTCGGTTGCCTTCCTAGCAAACTCCAAACCCTACAATGGTGCATCCCCTACCTTGGCCTAACAAACTGGTGACCCACAAGGTTGGCCATACAAGGCCTCAGACGGTGCCAAGGGAAACTTCGCAACCAACCAAGGAAACACAACACTAATTTCCGGCCACAACCAATCTTGGAATACTACCTCGACTCTAGGAACACCAAGTATACCGAATTAGTCAAGAACACTAGGAAAGGGTCACTGACTTCCCCTTGATTCACACCTACTCACTAAGTCTATGAGACAAGACCAACGAACGACCACGGCAACCATTAGCCCAAACACTCTCCACGCTTAACACTCTAACGAGATGGAAACTAGATCTTTACCATAAGCTCCTTGATTACCTTATTTAAGGAAAAGGTCACAACAAAACTCGGCTCGAGACGAGACTCCGGTCTAACAAGTTCTTACAACGCCCAACCATCCACATAACCGAACACACAAGGCTCGAGATTTAGAAATACAATTAAAGTGGCTACACTAACGCACTAAAAAGGTACAATAATCAACAATTTCGTTCCAAAAGAAGGTTTTCATCTTTTTCTCAATTATGGGTAAAAATCATCTCTTTATATACAAAACATTTTCTTCCTTTCAAGAAAAAACCCAAAATTCGTTCATTCTAATTTTCGCTCCACTGTAACAACTGACGGAAGGTTGTGACGGCCTGGTTCCTTTCCTTTCTTCTTCTTTCTTTCTTCGCTTCGTTCTCCATGTGCCTTCGTTGGGTTTGAGATGTCTGGGATGGTTCCCTAGATTGGAGTTCTAGTGTCCTTTTGTTCGGTGTTAAATTTTGTTTGTTCCGGAGGGTGCACGGGTGAGTTCAGGATGCCGGGGATGAAGTTGAAACTTTGGGCTGCTGGGCCAGGACCGCACGAGCGGAGCCCTAGGCCGCACGTGCGGTATTGTACCGCACGAGCGGTGGGAGTGGCCGCACGAGCGGCCAAGCTTGACACCTAGAAATTTGCTACTGTCTAAGAGCGCACGAATTTTGGGTTTTTTCTTGAGATGGCGATGATGGTGGTTGGAGATGATGTTGAGGGAGAATTAGGGTTAGGATTAGGGTGTTTTAGGTTTTGGGAGTAAGGAGAAGAAGAGATATTACGGATGATGGTAATAAAGGAATTATAGAATTATAAAAATAAATAAATAAATAAATAAATTTTGAGGGTGTAAGGAGTTAAATTGATGGTGTGAGTAGAATTTTCTAATTTCAAATCTCAAGAATTTTATCTAGCAAGCAAATTATTGGTGTCCTTAAACTCTTACACAAATTTATAAAGAGATGTCTCCTGAATAATACTAATTTTTTTAAAATAAAGATATCTTGGTGTTTTGATGATAATTATCACATCACATGCTAAATTTTGTCCAAGACATGGGTAAATATCTTCAATATTATACTAACTAATTTTTTAAAAGTGATATCTTAGTCCAGATATCCTTATTGGCTAAATTTAATATAAATAGATACAAATTTTTAAATAAAATTTATTTTTTAAAAGATCATGAGTTAAGAAAATTTTTAAAATATTATTATACTTATCAATGACTAAATAATGATTATGATTTTTTTTTTAATTGTTGATATTTTGAAAAGTTAAAATATTTGACTTAACTGCCATATATATAAAATCTTTTTTAAAAAAATTAAGATGAAATGTCAATTATAATACTTCTATATTGATCAAATTATCGATGTTTTAAAGGAGGTAAGATTAAATGTCCAATATATTATCATATTAATTAAATGACTAATAATTTCATGACATGTACATTTTTGTACTTCCAAAATTCAAAAAATTGAAAAAAGTGCATTGACACATTAAGGCCAAGTTTGGGAAGACTAAATAAGTGTACTTTTTGACTTTTTATGAAATATGGATTGGGTTTGGGTTAGGTTTGAAGTGATGTGTTAGAGAAGAGATGTGACTTAAATAAGATGATGTGACTTAAATAAGATAGTGACTTTTTGACTTTTTGAATTTTTTAAGAGTTGCCAAACTTGGCCTAAAACTCAAACACCTAACAACATTTTTACTTATATAATAATATAAATATAAATATAAATACATATACTTGTATGCATGTATGTAAAACAGTAGTATCAGATAAAAAGAAAAATGCTTGGGAGCACTAATTAGTGCTCCCACTAATTAGGTGGCAGTGGGTCCCGCCATTAATGATGTGATGTTTTGGTCTTGGAGTTGTATTTTTTTTTTTTTTTTTTACTTTTTTAATGCATTAGTGCTATTAGTGGTGATGTTTTTAGTGGGATGAATCATTGTTGAGATAAAAATATATGGACTGCTGCTAATAACCAGTCCTAGGTAGGTAGGTAGGTAGGCAGGTAGGAAGTACTCTTTATTGCCTTGCATCACAATATTCACCAACATGACCATCTGGGGTACATTGCTTTCTCTCCATGACTTACATTGCTTTATATCTGTTTATACTATTATATATGTGCACATTGATTTGGTGTTTAATGTTGTGGTGACTTCTCCTTTACTATGTGACAATTTTTTATCTTAAAGTAAAAAAATATTATTTAAAAGTATGAGTAATATTTAAACTCAAGATCTTAAATTTCATTAAATTTCATTATTTATTTTTATACACACGTATCGCATGTACCACTTGCTAGTATGTACATATATGTAGTGTTCAAATTTGGACTGATATCGTTAATTTATTTTATTTTTATTTATGAGGTAAAAGACAATTAATTCAACAAGTAATTACTTTGATGATGGGCTACTATTATATATATATATTAACCACCCAATTGGTTACATACCTAACCCTCCTTTGGCATAAAATAAATGCATAAAGTGGCTCTATATACTCGGACAGACTTGAACCAATAATAATCTCAAAGGTTGTTTAGTAAGCCAATTGCAAAGATGAATTTTAAGTGTCCTGGAGTATGTATCCTCCATAACCTTAAAAAACTGACATATATATATATATGATTGAAATTCCTTCATTGATAGCCAGCAGCGGTTCACAGAAGAGCATCCATCCATACATGCCTTGGCTTCCCTCCCTTCCACCCATTGTTGCCGAAGTTCAAGTCAAGTAGCAACAAGAAGCCACCACTGCTACAACCACCTCCTCAGACACAACCACCTGCAAGCCGGGATTATCCAAAGCAACCCAAGCCACCACTGCTACTGTTGCTGCTGCTATCAAATCCAGAGATTTCCAAGCTCCATCAACGACTATCGTATGATCGAGCCAAATTATTTTCACTATAATAATACACAATAAACAATGCCAGGAAAAAAAAGAAAGAAAGAAAGAAAACTTGAAGAGAAAAATTGGTCTTGTTTGGCAAGTGACTTTTTTAACCAAAAAGTCCAAAAATTACTAAAAAAATCAAAAAACCAACAACCCATACCAAAAAAGTCAAAAATTCCATTTTCTCTCTACTTTTTGCATATCTTTTCGTAAAAAATCAAAAAGTCATCCCAAATATACTAATTTTTTTTACATCACATTTTAACTAAAAAGTCAAAAAGCTAATAAAAAAACTTGTTCCCAAATGAGGCAAGTTCACATATTATAACTGAAAGGGTGAAAACAATGTAAATCCTAAAACCCATGGAATTTAATATCCCACTCTGGTATCAGCCAAACAAGGAAATTCTTCAAATTGAAATTATTTTACTCCAACCGAAGCCATCAAGTCATCATACTCTGGATCACTCTCCTGCTTCCTTGTCTTTAATGGATTACCTCCTTGTCCCTGTCCCTGAAGAGGTACAGTAGAAATAGAAGTGGGCGAGAATGGATCATAATTTTGCTGTGCTCCAGGACTAGAAGAAGCAGCTGCTGGCCTACCAGATGATGATGCAGAGGGCAAATTGCTACCTAGCTGCTGTTGATTTGGAGCCAAGTGACTCTGTGGCCGACCCACTGCAGATAGATAATTTTGCTGAAGCTGCTGCTGCACAGGATTTCCTGGCCTACGAGGGAAAGGACCTGGACCACCACCCATATTTCCCACATGGGGAGATGGATTTAATTTCCTGTGTCCCATTTGTGGGACAAGAGAACTATTTGGATTTGGGAATGATGGGTGTCTAGGTGGAGCTGTAGTGATAGTTGGATTTCCAGCAAAGGAAGATACTTGGCTGTGAGTTTGATTCATCTGATTGTTAAGCGGTGGTCTTGGGATGCCTTGCATGACAGGTGGAGATGAAGTTTGAATGGCAGGCCGGAAAGATGGTGTTTGAGGTGCCATAGGTAGTTGTGCTGTTGGATTTGGGGGTCGCATATTCTGAATTGTAGGTTGAATGCCAGGCCTTGGAACTGCTTGAGTGATTAGATTCTGGGGCCGGTGAGGCTGAAAAGTGAAATCACTCGAGTTTGGATGTTGTGGTTTTGGAGCTGTTAGAGAAGGGGGTTTTATAGGAGCAAAAGTTGGTGCACTTCCCAAAGCAGAACTTGGAATTCCTGCTTGTGGAGGTGGTGGTGGTGTTGATGTGGATGTGGATGCCACTTGCAGAGCAATTGGCATCGATCCCCCCAATAAAGGATTTGGAATTGGATTAGGCGTCACAGGACCCCCCTGTGCTATTATCAGTTGCATAGACGCAACTGGTGATGGAGATTGGATCGGTCTAGGGGCAGACATAGGTGCTGACAATTGGTTTGGAACAAAAGATGATGATGCTGGGGGAAGCCATGCTTGAGGCGGCTGTGGGCCAGAAGTGAAGACAGGAGGACGGTTTCCAGATGTAATGTAAGGCTCAGGACCAGATGGCCGCCTGGGGGGAAAGGCTACAGGTGAAACCATATTCACTGTTGTAATATTATATAGTGGCGGTCCAGATGCAATGATGGGTTGTGGGGTTACAGGATGAGGACCCTGAGGAACCACTGGGGGTGCCATCTGTGACATGCTGCCTGGACGAAGAGATGGAGGAGTGGCAGACAGTGCTTGAGACCACTGAGTAGAACTCCCAGCAGGGGGCAACATCCTGTCAGGGAGTGATCCTGACGAAGGTCTGGTGGACACAGGTTGAGACGAAGAAGGCCCTAATGACCTTACAATTGAGGGAGGTTGATTGCCAGTATGTGGAGGTGGTGGTGGAGCTGAAATACTGGGTTGAGCAGGTGATGGTTGTGAAGCTGCCATCGGAGGATTTCTTGGTGAGCCAGCATGACCAAAAGGTGCCTGAGGCATAAAAGGGCGCTGCAAAACTGGTGGCTGTGCTCGGGAGGGAACAAGAGAAGGATTTTGTGGAACAGAGCCAAGACCAGCAGGGAGAACTGGTCGAGGACCAAATAGTGAAGGCATATGTGAGGGATTAAAAGAAGATGATGATGCTTGGAAAAGATTGTTGAGCATTGGTGCTGAAGGATTTGGAGGGAAAATGAATCCAGAAGGCAGACGCATAGGACTCTGAGGTGGCCCTGCTGGGAACCATGGACCTGGATGTGGCTGAAACTGAACTTGTGGAGTTTGGACAGATCCCATGAATGATTGTGCCGCTTTCTGATTCACCTCCACAGCAGATATTATATAAGGGGTGGATGTACCTTGACTTTGATCAACAGCATTCACATTATCAGCAGAAACAGAAGTTGATGTTGTGGAAACAGCAGATGGGTTTACCTGAGAGAAAGTTACAATATTAGAGGTCACAAAGAACAAGAATAATAACTAATTATGGAAATACCAAAAAATAAATAAGGGAATAAAAACTGTAACGAGATAACAAGAACAAGGGAGGTGCCATATGTACAACTCTCTGGCTGCACATTTGTGAGGCTGTATAGGATGTGAAAATCATAATGAGTAAACTTTCTAGTAAAGCAGAGCAAGCATGAACTGGGTTGAGAATCTTGACACTTACTGGAACTGGGGTGACAAGCAGTTCAATTAGGGAAACTGCAGCATCAACCTTCTCATATGTGTCAGCAGATATATGAACGTATAACTCAGCATAAGCAACAAGAGCTTCATTTCCATCTGATGGTGTAATTTCACCCTGGGTGTTAATAAGGAAAAGGATGGAAAGAGGTTAATCGAGCTTGGTGAACATTAGGTTGTACCGTTACGCAAATCATATGAACAACAGAGTAAACAATTCAGGGTAGATATTTCAAATGTAAGATCAAATTATGAAAAGAGAAAGAAATTTTAAACGAATATGAGGAGGTGGAGGGGGGGTTGTTAAACGAAGTAGAGGTTTGTGTCTGACTATCAAAACAGTGTAATTTTTTTTTTTAAACAATTACCTTCTCTCCTGTATCTGCTTTGGTACCATAAACTCGGACTTTAGCTCCTGTTTCCTGATTTGAACATTTAAATGAAAGTTAATGAAAAAATTGACAGCATTCAACATAAAATCTCCATTTAGCATACATCAGCCAACGATTAAATCAAAAATCTAAAACAACCCAGCATTGAGGCATAATGTCATTATATGAAAAGTTACCTTCTCCAACCGTTTTTGAGTATCACTTGCAGGGCCAAATATTAGACCAATAAAATTGTACCCTGAATATTCTTTGATCTGCAGAGGCAATACACCAATTTTTTTCAAAAGGAACAAAAAAGTTCATTTGTTCCACCAAACACTGATCCAGATATCATAATACATCTCAATGGTCTCAACTTAATGGACTATCTCCAATATATTTAGGTTTAATCACCCAAGGAGTACTGTTTTGATTTTAGAATCAATATAGCATACATACAAATTTAAGAAAGATCCATGCTTAGAATAGAAATGCTTATATGAGTGAGGAGTAATTTGAAATCCATGCCAGCAAAAAGTCTAGTTGCACATCTCCCCTTTCCACTTTCTTCACATCCTTGGATCTCCCAATCTAATTTTAATACCCAATCCTCCAATATAATAATACATTGTTTACCTGTGTATCGCAAAAATATATTATATGGAATTCACAATATGCATTTCCTTAAAATGCAACTATATGAATTGCTAAAGTTTTAGTAAACACTCAAAAGAACTGCTAAAATTATTGGGAGAATATCAAAAAAGTGGAGAGAGAAAAATAATTTCAAAGTGATGGAAATACAAGTGATTCATGGATTAGATTGTGCAAGTATCACTTTGAAATTATTTTTTCTACCCTCCAATTTTTTATGTTCTCCTAAAGTTATTCTAGCCATAGGGTGGTCATATAAGAAATACTGAAGTTATGTTTGGCTATTACCTCCTATCAAATCATTACATGTAAAATAACAATAATAATAAAAAAAACTGACTAATAAAAGTCTTTGGGAGTCTAGCTAGTCATGTTGCACAGATTATAATCCCATAATATAAAAAAAATACTGTATTATTGATTGATATTGATTGATTGATTACAATTCCTATACAATCTATATATAGAAGAAAATGTGGTAGTAGGTGTAGTGGAGGTGATAGTGGGTTAGGTGAAGTGGAGTGTGTGGTGAAGTGGAGGTAGGTGAAGTGGAGTGTGTAGTGGAGTAGGTGAAGGTAAAGATGAGAAATTCTAACACATAATATTTATCAGACTTGAAAATGCTAATCAAGGCTGACCCTATTCCATTGATTTTCATAAAATCAAGCACACCAAAGGTTCTCCCAAAGTAGTAAATATGTACAAAAATGTTACTCATTGTCCTAATTAGACTTGAGATTATAGAATAATAAATACAAAGACAACTTAACCTATTACACCCTTTCTGATAATTTTGAATACTATAAGCTTAATGTTTAAAAATAAACATATTCAAGTCCACTCAAATTGCTCATAGTATTTATTATAATAGTGAACAAAAACCTTTGCCTAATAATCTTGAGGTTATGTGTTCAAATCTTGGGACAATCACTTTGCCCCACTATACCAAAGGTTAGGTTTTCCACTCCCAAACACACATTAATGTGTACTATTTGGGCGTTATTACACGATTGAATTGTGCTTTTCTAAAATTTTACTAGTGTTGTTATTTATTTTGATTTTATTTTTCCTAAAATATAAGTAAAACGAGAGAACTTTTTCTAGACAAAAGAGAGATTGCTGAAAGATGACAATTGAAGAAAACAATTGGTAGATATTTTTTTTAAACCATTAGACGTAGAGAGATGCATGATAAAAACATGCAAGAAATTCTTAATTCCAGTCATTACAGCCATATTCATAGCCCTCTATCTCACACTTTGATTGTGGGACAACCCACGCATGTGAGAGGAGAAGGTATGATACACACTAAGTCTATAAGTTTAGAATTCACCAGTGGGGTGCATTGGAGATGGAGACAAAGAAGGTGAAAAGGTAGTGACAGCGGTGGGGTGCGCTAGAGATGAATGTGATGATGAGGAGGCAGCGATAGGGGTGTGTTGGAGATGGAGTTGATGGTGAGGAGGCGATGATGGTGCCAGGGGGTGCGGTGGAGGTGGAGGAGAAGGTGACGAAATAGTCGTCAAAGATGAATAAAGAGAAATTGGACGATGGAGAGAGCTGAAGGGTAATGGAAGGTGGCGACAAATACCGTTGTGATGGGGTTTGCTGGAGATGGAGACAGAGAAGGTGAAAAGCTAGCAACAATGGTGTGGTGCGCTAGAGATGAATGTGATGGTGAGGAGGCAGCGAATAGGGGTGTGTTAGAGATGGAGTTGATGGTGAGGAGGCAACGATGGTGCCAGAGGGTGAGGTGGAGATGGAGAAGGAGAAGGTGAGGAGGTAGTGGTGGCGCCGAGGATGCATTGGAGATGAATGAAGACAAATTGGAAGACGGAGAAAGCTGAAGGGCTATGGAAGTATTGATCATATGGGCAAGGTTGTTAAAATTGGTATCCTAAGTAGGATCGGTGAGAGGGTCTGGTGGATCGGATCATAGGATCGGATCGAGGATCGTAAGATCCTACTTTCTATTAAAAAAAAAGATAAAAATTAAAATTAAAATGATACATATTAAAAATAAGGTGAAAAATCATAACATCTACGATCCTACTTGCGATCCTACCTACGATCCTATACGATCCCATACGGTCCTACACGATCCCATGCGATCCTACACGATCCTACTTGCGATCCTGTTATAACATCGATCCTACAACAATCTGGATCGTTTTGGCAAAGTAGGATCGTAGGATCGTACGATCCGGATCGCGATTTTAACAACCATGCATATGGGATGAGGTGCATGATAAAGTGATATGTGGGAATGCCACATGTATTTTAACCCTTTTTCTTTCAATTTAATTTAACAGAGTTTAACGGATGATTGAAAGTGAAACCAAACTAGAAGTGTAAGATATAAATTGACAAAATTAAAACTTCAGGGTTTAATTTGTTATTAGGATCAAACATGTATGGAGATTTCATGTGGAAAAAAGAAAAAGAAAAAAATACAGATAAGATCACAGCTTCCTACATCCACGTTTGTGAAAGCCACATCTGTCACTGTGACCTTTACTATGTCAGCAACCGCCGCAATTTAAGTCTCTAGCTTTCCATAAACTATTCCCAGTAATGTAGTCAGAGCTTAATTTTCATAAGTCATCTCATGAGTTTGTTAACCTACGTCTTTTCCTGGTAATAGCTTATTTGTAATTATTTAATGGTTTATAAGATTATGATTTTGACTACACTGATTTGGGATTTTCCTCCCTCTATCCCTTCCTTCCTTCCTTTTCATTCTCTTCTATTCTTCTCTTTTCTTCCCTCTATCTATACTACTTTGCTCTTTGGTTCTACACCAAAAAGCCTATCCCAACTTTTTAAGATCAGCTTCACATTTCTTCTTTTCACCCAGTTGACTCTATCTGGGCAAAATCTCAGATGAAATCAAAGACCATCAAGACTTCTTTAAAATCAAAGACTACCCAAGACTTCTCTCAAATACTAACCTGTCCAGTCTCTCTCTTTTTTATACTGCCCCTTCAAATTGATTTTTGTTCTTATAATTTGAATTCAGCTGTTCTAATTAACTATTAACCCCCACGGTCAAACTGACAACACTAATGGTGTTGTGTCACAAAAGTTTAGAACAAGCAAACAATCAGCTTAAAGAAGTGCTTATAGTGGAAACCACAATTCACCAAAAATAGCTATTACCCTTAATCATACCACAACTGTAAAATCCTCTTAAACAGAATGTTTTATATGTGATCTTTAATCATTATATTCAAACATCCCAGCAAAAGATTCAACAAAAAGTTTTGTTGTGTAATTGCATTGATAGAAGAAACAAACAACTTTTTACTTGCAAAGCTGCAGTCACAACATCATAAGATTAAGCACAAAAGGCAGTGAACAAATGCCAAATTTATAGGTCTACTTACAGGGACAGAAACTTTAGCCTCTTTCAACAAGGGTTTATAATCTTTCGGGGCCTTGTAGCTTGGATTCAACTTCAGTATTTCACCTGGGAGTCATCAAGGATAAGCAGGCCATATATAGTGCCCAGTTGGCAATTTGACATTTTTAGTGGCTTTTTTATGAAGTGAAAAAAACTAGTGTTTAGAATGGTTTTTTTAATTGAATTGATAGTTGTGAGGAAAAAAATGATTGATTGATGCGTATGATGTGATATTTTAACATTTTTTGCTTTTTGGCTTTTTTTATAGCCAAAAAGCCTCAAACCAAATGGGGCCATAATATTAAAAGAGGAAAGCAGCAATCTAGGAAAATTGGGCTCAACATACCAATAGCCTCCCGCCTTTCTAGTTCCAACGATTCTGACTTCTACATCCACATATTATAACATTAGTGCTTTGAAAGCTACAAACTGTATAACAGGGAAATTCTGGTAGCCCAAAATTTATTTTACCTCACTCTTGATCTGAACTGAAGATTCATGATTTGGAATCGGGGCTGATAATGGTGAGTCTTGATTGTCTCTTGTCTCCAAAATTCCTGAATTTAGCCTTTTTGTAATTTGATCTACTCGAGTCTGGTCAAAATTTGTATCACCATAGTACATGGAATGAGAAGCCAATCCAAAGCTTTCACATACAGATACACTGACAAATTTTAGCACTCAATGGGAAAAAGGAAATCTTCAATTGCTACAGGCAGAGAAATAAGATATTCTACCAAAAAATTGGATTTAAAAATGCCTCCAACCCATTTCTATATTAAAAAAAAAAAATTAAAAAAAATAAAATATAAATATTAAAAAAGGAATTATAAGTAGCTAATACTTCCTCCTTACAGGCTAAGCACAAAAACAAAAGATACCTAAATCATCACAAACAGTCCCTGATTTGAAACAGAATTGAAAATTTATATTTATATTTCTATATGTATAAGAAGCTCTTTCCGGCTTGCAGCTTGTTTTTTTTATTCCTATGTTGCCCTTTTATTTTGTATAATTTACTAATGGTGACCTATATTTTGACTTTTCCATTTTACTGTTTTCTTTGGTAATATTTACCAATATTGGTGGTACTAATTTGAGTGAAGGGTTTTTTATAATTACGCAAACATTTTTGGTCAATTATGAAACATAAATCTTTTGTTTTTTAACAAATTACAAATACGCCCATAAGATTTGTTTAAAATATGAATTGCCGCTATAATACTAGAAATTACAACTTATAAATTTTAATTTAACACAATAATCAGAAGGAAATAATAAATAAATAAATTCTAACTACTCTCTTATGCAACAATAAATTATCAAACTTGTTCATTGAAAGATATTTCTCATATCATTAAAAACTATTAATTAACTTAATGATTTATTTATTAAGAAGATGGATCATTTGTTATGTGCTCATGATTTATTTATTCATAAAATAGATAAAAACAAATTCATATTTTAGTCTCTTTTTTTGAAGGGAAAAAAAAAAAGAAAAGAAAAGAAAAGAGTTTTAGATGCATCTAAAAAATAGGAAGATATTTTCAACAAATCTTTAACTACTCTCATATGCAATAATAAAATTATCAAAATGGTTAACTGAAAGATATTTTCCATATCATTAAAATTATTAATTGACTTAATGATTTACTTATTAATAAAATTGGTTATTTGTTATGCGAGTATGATTTATTTATTAATAAGATGAGTCATTTGTTAAAAGATTTGTTAGATGCATATGGATCTAAAATGAAAAAAGAGAATAAAATGTGAAAACAAATTCATTAAAAATAAACGAAAATCCGTCTAAAATCATTTTTAAAAAAATCAAACGAAATAGAATAATTTGTTAGAAGATTTGGATTTTTGAAATTTAAATTTACCACAATAATACACAGGTCTAAAAAATATTTAAAAAATAAAACCAAACAAAATAATTTGTTAGAAGATTCATACTTTTAAAATTTAAATTTACCATAATAATAACTCGTGCCTTGCACGGGCATTTTATACCAAGTATATACATATATAAACATCTTTAAGCAAACGCATTACCAGAAGAATAAGAAGATAACTTAAATATTACTTGTAAAGAATCCCCAACATACCTGATAAGCTACCGCTCTTCCTTTTCTAACAGCGGCATCCTGTGTAAGATCAGGGCCCCATTTTGTTTTCCTCTGCACCTGTTTAGTACTTTCTTCATTCACCGCATCACTGCCTCCAGGCTTTTTACCACCACGGAAAATGGGAACTAATGAACCTGATAATTTGTTTTTAGGTATTACAAATCCTGATTTTGCAGCAAACATAGATATCTTTGGGCTACTTGCTGATGCTGCAGATGTGTTAGCTGTTATAATGGTCTGAACACGGTGCTGTTCAACTGTAGATGCCGGCTCGACCTTTGTGCTCATCTTGCTCCCAAAACACGTTCCACAAAACACTGTAACATGGATACAACAATTAAGAAGAGGAGTTAATCTTAGAGGATTATCAGTCCAAAGTCCAAACTACCTATCTTTCCAACAAAGGACAGTCGGAACATGCAAAAGAAAATTTTAAGGTGAGTCAGTAGCCCCTATAGCAAGGCTAACAAAGTAGAAATAGGTCTATCACAAGGGGATTAAATCAATAACAATGCAAGCCCTATAGAATATGAAGAGACATAGAAATAGAGGGAGAGAGCGGGGCAAAAAGGGAGAGAGCACTGACCTTAGAAAACATAAAATATAAAAAATTAGAAAAAAAAAATTGGATATTTTTGGGGGAATTTGGTCATTAACCGTCATAATAAAACTTTCATGCATCAAGGACAAGGACCAAAAAATTTTCTTGAAAAGCCCAACACACACCACTATTACCAAAATATCCTTCATGACTAATTTAATATTTTAAACTTTAAAATGATATAACGTTTTATCTAGATATCGCTTTTTAATAAAATTAATATTTTTTAAATCCTCTCGTCAAGATCTATCAAACAAGATCATGTTGGCTATGAAATTCTTTAAAAAAATGGATAAATTACAAATGCACCCCCTAAGGTTTGTTTAAAATACAAATTGCCCCTTGTGGTTTAAAAAATTACCAATACCCCATTGTCAGAATTTTTTATCTAACAGAATTAACTGAAAAAATGAAATTCCTAATTGCTCTCCTATACAATAATAAAATTACCTGAATTATTAATTAAAATAAATTTTTAACATCATTAAAAATTGTTAAACTTGATGATTTATTAATAAAAGGAACTATTTGTTATGAAATTAGAAACCCCACGTGCCGAAATGTAATTTTCAAAATCGCAGTGGCCAATTCGTTTTTAAGCAAACCTCAGGGGGTGTATTTGTAATTTACCCTAAAAAAAAGTAAAATTTTTAATGTCGAAATTAACGTCACCCGTAAAATTTTACTCTCATCTCACAGCGAAATTTTACTCTGATTCATAGTAAATTTTATTATTTAAATAGTAAAATACCATCGTCATCACTAAGCACCATAGTCACTATAATTGTTAATAAACAATTACAAAAACATAACTTTAACATAGTAAAATGAAATAATAACTTCTTTTTTGATAAATAAAAATGAAATAACAACTTTAATAGAATAAAATTTTGTTGTTAATTTAAAACAGAGCATCAACAACTAAATGATAGATTACATATTATTATAGCAGAGCAGAGTAAAATTTTACTGTTACTTTTGAACAGAGCATTAGCGAATAAAACACTTAACATATATTACCAGAGCAAATCAAAGTAAAATTAATCTAATGGCAACAAAAATACTACCATTCAATCAGATTCAATAAAAACACTTAACCCAATCGAATTGGACACATTCCACACCTTTGTCTAAGTGTCGGTTGTCCAACATGGGTATTTGATTTATTTTGAAGAGTCCATATAACATAGGTTGGGACTACGCACTCTATGAAATATGATCGATGAAGAAAATAGCTCTATGTTAAGGAAAGAACGACAACAGCGATGCTAATACAGTTGAAAGATTTGATTCAAATCTATACCATACATATCGAAGGGCAAGATCATCCATGAAAAAACGTAAACAAATTTTTTTGTCCTTCAAGAAGGAAACACTACTTCTTGAGGGGGTTTACAAAGTAAAATAGTTGGGACTGTCCTTTTCACTAAAAAGGGGCTCAACAAAGGAGTTTTGGCCAAATAATCCATATTTATTTAGCATATCCCTCATGTATCCTTCTGTACCCGAAAATAGAAAAAATAAAAATAATAAATCGGATACTTATTTGTTGTATCCGATATGTATCCCGCTATATCAAACACGTATCCATATTCGATACTCAAACAGGCTGTTTTTGGAGCATCCGTGCTTAAATATTGCCCCACCCCCCACTTGACAAAATTCTTGTCCACCCACCAATACACAATAATGAGCCAAATCAACTACCAAGTCCTTTTACATTAGGTAGAAAAATTTGGGGATGCCAATATTCGCAAATGCAATATAAAAAAACTAGGACACCAACACTCCGTTTTGATTATAGTGTGAAAAGGAACAGAAATGATTTTGGTCTATCATCTAGATGAGAAAAGAAAATAAATGATCGTGTTTTCTCACTATCATGTTTGGATGAGTGAGAAAGCAAAACATGTGAAAGAGCGATATGAGTAAGATTTCTTTCTCTTTCTTTATATTTTAAGGGGCAATCTTGGTATTACAAATATTTTACAATCAATAAACTTGTTTCTCACTAAATCTCACCACTTTTGATGAAAAATGAAATAGGCTTAGACCATCTCCAACGGTGAACCAAACCCAACATCAAATTCAAATTTTGATGAAAAACCTACTTTTTCAAGCTCCAACCGTTGCACCAAAGTCATATCAAAATGAGAATTCAGCAAACAAAACATCAAACTGAGACCAAGACACAGATTTTACCAAATCACTGTTACTGACCGTTGAAAGAGGTACACCGGTCAACCAGCCGGTTGCCCGGCCGGTTGACCAACCGGTCAACCAGTAAAAGATTCAAACAGTTCAGGAAAAAAAGTTCAAACGGTTAAAAAAAAAAAAAAAAAAAAATTTGCCTAACCGGTCGACCACCTAGTCGTCCCGAAAAAAGTTCAGAAAGTTCAAAAAAAAGTTCAGACAATTCGCGAAAAAAAAAAAAAATAATTTTTTTGGCCTAACCGGTCAACCGGCCGGTCGACCACCCGGTTGTCCCGGGATAGATTTGGTGAAAGGTGAACCGTTGGAACGAGTGGTATCAAAGTTGGTGAAATGGGTCATTTTTGACTCAGATTTGGTGAAAAATTTGAGTCACCGTTGGAGATGCTCTTAGTAAGAGAGTTATCTTTTTCACCATTTCTCACTCAACTTATAAATCAAACATTAGAAAAGGTTCTCTTTCTCATCATTTCTTATCATTTCTCACCAAATCACCCCATACAAATGGAGTGCAAATAATGGAACATACAAGCAGAATGGAATAAAGATTCCTAATAACAAAAAGTAGAGTAATCCACATAAACTTGTTTTTTACTTTCATATTAGATTGATTGAAAACCGATCAGAGACAAAATCAAGCAAGTAAATGAACGGTACAGCAATCAAAAAATCAGGCATGCATGGCGATAAACGAAGGAGAATCTCACAGATACAGAACCAATAATGGATGGATACAAACACAAGTTCAGCGAAAACCAATTATAAAATTGAGAAACATCAGTCCATAGAAATGTATGTTCATAAAAGATGAGCACATTAGAATCCAATTTCATGTGTATAGATAGATAGATAGATAGATAGATCTCATACCTGAATGTTGCAGGTGTAGTGGTCAGACTCGATTGAAGATTGTAACCCTAGGCCAGATGGGTCTGGTACAGCGAATTCAAGGTTCTAGGGTTTTGGACGGTCGAGGAGGGAGTGACAGCTAGTTTAAATAGGCATTATTCGGATCCTCTAGAGGACTCTTTCCTGGAGTATTCCTGAAGTAGTACCAAAACGACAGTGAATGAATGAATTAAAAAAATTAAATAAACAAAAAAAAAAACTGGATGCTGGAGAATGGAGAGAAACGCGAACTGCCAAGTGAGAGAGAGGAAATCATTTTTCAGATTTTGAAATTATTTGCAAATTTGAAATGCCAATCAAATAATGAATATCTTCCCAATTTTCAGCACCAAAGCTACTGCATTCAAAGCCTACAAACCATTTCAACTAAAATCCAGCTGAGCAAACCATTCGTATTTGCAGCAACCAAAAAAACAAAACAGATACATCAAACCTAGCGTCCCAGTCAAAAAATCCAAATCAGAAGCCCCAAATCTGTTAAATTTTCAATCGCAAGTTGTAAAGCGAACCTGGCTTCGACAGCCCTCTCTCCCCTACGATTTTCTCTCTCTTCGGTTTTTTTCCCCCTGAGCTGCAGAAACAGCGTTTTGTCGATTCGTTACCTTCAACTCTAACCCCCTCATATTAAGGCCAAGTTTGGCATGAGACAAAAAAGACAAAAATTCAAAAAGTCACTATCCTATTTAAGTCACTATCCTATTTAAGTCACATCATCTTATTTAAGTCACATCACCTCTCTAACACATCACTTCAAACCCAACCCAAACCCAACCCATATTTCATAAAAAGTCAAAAAGTGCACTTATTTAGTCTTCCCAAATTAGGCCTAAAAAGATAAAAAGTAGATTTTTTATTTTTTTTTTTTGGTAAGTAAAAAATTTGTGAGAAGCGATATGAAAAAAAAAAAAAAAAAAAAAGAAGACAAATTACACTTTATCTATGTGGTTTAAACAATATATAGTTTATTCTTTTACTGTTTAGAAATGATCACATACACTCTATGTAATTTGTGAATTGAAATGTATCATTAAAATATCGTTAAATATTTTGTCTAACTTAACAGTAAGTATAAAATACATGGCCCACATAAAGGATTATATGTTTATTTTTAAATTTCAAAGAAGTCAATGGCATATAGAATAAAGCATAGGGGTTAAAGTATATTTTGCCTTTTAAACAAATGACAAAAATACAAAGGTATTTTAGTCTTTTTTATCAAATCATTAATAGGCCTAACAGTGCACTTCAGTCCACAAACTACAAATGAGGTTATGTGGTCATTTTCAAACATTAAGGAGTAAACTACGGGTCATTCTATTTACACACACCTTCTCTCTCAAGGCAAACCATTAATTAATTTATTTTTTATTACAATTTTAACCTTAAGTGAAATGATTATAGAGGATAAGTTATGATACGCATCATTTGTGTATTTACCATAAAGGACAAGAATCAATAGAATATAAATCATCAATTTCAAACTTGTTCCTTACGTATCTTCTCTGTCAAGAATCCAAAAATCCTAAAATGAAAATCAAAAACCCTTCAACAAATAATCAAAAATATAGTATTATTGAAGATTTTGATTAGATTCAATGAAGGATGCATCTGACAATTCTCATTCGGAACAATGGAGCAATAAAAAGGTTTTTTTTTTTTGTCTTCGTTTTCGTTTATGAGTGGTAAATCGTTGTTCGGTTAACTAGAGGGGAATAATATATCATTGTTCGACACACTAAAATCGAACAAATTATATATGTTCGACAGACTACAATCAAACACATTACATATGTTCGACAAACTACAATCGAAAACCTTACTTTTGTTCGACTATCTAAAACCGAACAAATTGCACTTGTTCGGATTACTAAGGTCGAACATTTTCATTTAATTTGAGTTTGTATTGCCGAACAGCTATAAATTTTTATTTTTTTTTCCAGAACTGTACATCCATGGAATGTAGTAATGTTGGATCTGGGGGTCTTGTTGACTACATGTGTCACTTTATTACTAATGAGGCAGTCTCATGTCGTAAATTAGTATTTTTTTTCTTTTTGTTTTTGGATGTTTAGTGACTTTGTTGAATTTGATTTGTAGGTTTTCAAGAGCAAAAAAGAATTGCTCGGTTGGGTACGGGACGTTGGAAGGAAAAATAGGTTTGTGATTGTCATCAAGACATCGGACTATGGTGGTGGTCATAGGACACCAAGGATATATCTTGCCTGTGAGAGAAGTGGTCAATACAGAGCTCATAAGAAATTAAAAGGAGATGATTCAAACAAAAAAATTGTGAAGATAACGGGTACAAAAAAATACTGGTGTCCTTTTGAGTTGAGGGCTCATAAGTTGATGGCTGATGATGATTGGATGGTAGATGTAACATGTGGAATGCATAATCATGCTCCTGCTAAACATTTTGAAGGACATTCATTTGCAAGGAAATTATCTGAGGAGGAAACATCATTATTAGTGGATATGTCCAAAAGCATGGTCAAACCAAAAGAGATTTTGGTTACATTGAAACGAAAGGATGCTTAAATGTAACCACTATGAAAACCATTTACAATGTACGTCATAGGAATAATGTTGTTGAGAAAGCTGGGAGATCACAAATGCAACATTTGTTGGGTGAGTTAGGAAAGCATAATTACATTGAGTGGCATAAGTGTGACAACAACACGATGACCGTTACAAACTTGTTTTGGGCACATCCTGTCAGTTTATATTTGCTCCGTTCATTTTCAAAGGTGTTGATCATGGACTGCACATATAAGACAACTCGATATCGTCTTCCTCTTCTTGAGATAGTTGGTATGACATCCACTGATATGTCATTCTCCGTAGCCTTTGTATATTTCCAATTTGAGCGGATTGATAACTACGTTTGGGTGTTAACTACATTGCGTAGTTTCTTGGATGACATTGTTATTCCTGAGGTGATTGTCACAGACAGAAAGCTTGCTTTGATGAATGCTATTGACAGGTTATTGTCTACATCTCGACATTTATTATGCCGATGGCATATTAGTAGAAATGTACTAGCGAAATGCAAGAAAATGTTTAAGAGTAAGAAGGAATAGGACAAGTTTATCTCTTTATGGAATTTCTTAGTACTCTCCTCAACTGAGCTTGAATACAATGTACACCTTGCTACGCTACTTGCGGATTTTGATACATATCCTGAGGCAGTGCAATATGTGTCACAAAGTTGGTTAATTCCATATAAGGATAAGTTTGTTGCCGTATGGACAGATAGCTGTATGCACTTCGGGAATGTTACAACCAACATGTAATATATATTTGTCTACCTTACACTATTAGGCATTATGATTTTGATTATTTAAACTTAATTATGTTAATTGTTTCCATTGTACACAGGGCTGAAAGTGCACATGCAAAACTGAAACGGCAACTTGGTTCCAACCAAGTAAATTTTGAGTGTTTTTGGACCAAGATCCATAGTTTGCTTGAGTTGTAGCATGGTGATATTAAGGCATCGTTTGAGAAGAGTTTAACTGTTGTACAACACCAGTTCAAACCATCCTATTTTAGAGAGCTCCGAGGCAATATCTCTATTACTGCATTAGATCATGTCTTAGTGGAGAGTAAGCGAGCGAATGATGTTGGCATTAATGCTTCAGTATGTGGATGTGTTGTTTGATGAACACACGGGTTACCTTGTGCCCATGAGATTACGGATTACATCCGACAGGGTCGTTCAATACCACTTGATAGCATTAACCCGCACTGGAGGACTCTTGAGATAGTACAAAAGTTAAAAAATGATAAAGTGGAATTGAGTTATAAACCAAAGTTTGATCTCATACTTAAGTGATTCAATGCATCTGATTATACTATGAAGTTGAAAATTATGCATAAGTTAGGACAGATTGCAAATCCGCAAAGTACTTTTCTCATTGAGCCGGATGTGAAGCCCAACTCTCGAGGTGAGGGACATAAGAAGATAGATGCCGGTCAACCGGCCGGTCGACCACCCGGTTGTCCCGGGATAGATTTGGTGAAAGGTGAACCGTTGGAACGAGTGGTATCAAAGTTGGTGAAATGGGTCATTTTTGACTCAGATTTGGTGAAAAATTTGAGTCACCGTTGGAGATGCTCTTAGTAAGAGAGTTATCTTTTTCACCATTTCTCACTCAACTTATAAATCAAACATTAGAAAAGGTTCTCTTTCTCATCATTTCTTATCATTTCTCACCAAATCACCCCATACAAATGGAGTGCAAATAATGGAACATACAAGCAGAATGGAATAAAGATTCCTAATAACAAAAAGTAGAGTAATCCACATAAACTTGTTTTTTACTTTCATATTAGATTGATTGAAAACCGATCAGAGACAAAATCAAGCAAGTAAATGAACGGTACAGCAATCAAAAAATCAGGCATGCATGGCGATAAACGAAAGAGAATCTCACAGATACAGAACCAATAATCGACGGATACAATCACAAGTTCACCGAAAACCAATTAAAAAATTGAGAAACATCAGTCCATAGAAATGTATGTTCATAAAAGATGAGCACATTAGAATCCAATTTCATGTGTATAGATAGATAGATAGATGGATCGATCTCATACCTGAATGTTGCAGGTGTAGTGGTCAGACTCGATTGAAGATTGTAACCCTAGGCCAGATGGGTCTGGTACAGCGAATTCAAGGTTCTAGGGTTTTGGACGGTCGAGGAGGGAGTGACAGCTAGTTTAAATAGGCATTATTCGGATCCTCTAGAGGACTCTTTCCTGGAGTATTCCTGAAGTAGTACCAAAACGACAGTGAATGAATGAATTAAAAATATTAAATAAACAAAAAAACAAAACTGGATGCTGGAGAATGGAGAGAAACGCGAACTGCCAAGTGAGAGAGAGGAAATCATTTTTCGGATTTTGAAATTATTTGCAAATTTGAAATGCCAATCAAATAATGAATATCTTCCCAATTTTCAGCACCAAAGCTACTGCATTCAAAGCCTACAAACCATTTCAACTAAAATCCAGCTGAGCAAACCATTCGTATTTGCAGCAACCAAAAAAACAAAACAGATACACCAAACCTAGCGTCCCAGTCAAAGAATCCAAATCAGAAGCCCCAAATCCGTTAAATTTTCAATCGCAAGTTGTAAAACGAACCTGGCTTCGACAGCCCTCTCTCCCCTACGATTTTCTCTCTCTTCGGTTTTTTCCCCCTGAGCTGCAGAAACAGCGTTTTGTCGTTTCGTTACCTTCAACTCTAACCCCCCTCACATTAAAAAGATAAAAATTAGATTTTTTATTTTTTTTGGTAAGTAAAAAAATTGTGAGAAGCGATATGATAAAATAAAAAAAATAAAAAAAAGATTAAAAGCTAACCAGAGCTTCCCAGAGTGTCTAAGAAGAAAAAAACAAAAAAAAAGACAAATTACACTTTATCTATGTGGTTTAAACAATATATAGTTTATTCTTTTATTGTTTAGAAATGATCACACACTCTATGTAATTTGTGAATTAAAATATATCATTAAATATCGTTAAATATTTTATTTAACTTAACAGTAAGTATAAAATACATGGCCCACATAAAGGATTATATGTTTATTTTTAAATTTCAAAGAAGTCAATCGCATATAGAATAAAGCATAGGGATTAAAGTATATTTTGCCTTCTAAACAAATGACGAAAATACAAAGGTATTTTAGTCTTTTTTATCAAATCATTAATAGGCCTAACAGTGCACTTCAGTCCACAAACTACAAATGGGGTTATGTGGTCATTTTCAAACATTAAGGAGTAAACTACGGGTCATTCTATTTACACACACCTTCTCTCTCAAGGCAAACCATTAATTAATTTATTTTTTATTACAATTTTAACCTTAAGTGAAATGATTATAGAGGACAAGTTATGATACGCACCATTTGTGTATTTACCATAAAGGACAAGAATCAATAGAATATAAATCATCAATTTCAAACTTGTTCCTTACGTATCTTCTCTGTCAAGAATCCAAAAACCCTAAAATCAAAATCAAAAACCCTTCAACAAATAATCAAAAATATAGTATTATTGAAGATTTTGATTGGATTCAATGAAGGATGCATCTGACAATTCTCATTCGGAACAATAGAGCAATGAAAAGGTTTTTTTTTTTGTCTTCGTTTTCGTTTATGAGTGGTAAATCGTTGTTCGGTTAACTAGAGGGGAATAATATATCATTGTTCGACATACTAAAATCGAACAAATTATATATGTTCGACAGACTACAATCGAGCACATTACATATGTTCGACAAACTACAATCGAAAACCTTACTTTTGTTCGACTATCTAAAACCGAACAAATTGCACTTGTTCGGATTACTAAGGTCGAACATTTTCATTTAATTTGAGTTTGTATTGCCGAACAGCTATAAATTTTTATTTTTTTTTCCAGAACTGTACATCCATGGAATGTAGTAATGTTGGATCTGGGGGTCTTGTTGACTACATGTGTCACTTTATTACTAATGAGGCAGTCTCATGTCGTAAATTAGTATTTTTTTTCTTTTTGTTTTTGGATGTTTAGTGACTTTGTTGAATTTGATTTGTAGGTTTTCAAGAGCAAAAAAGAATTGCTCGGTTGGGTACGGGACGTTGGAAGGAAAAATAGGTTTGTGATTGTCATCAAGACATCGGACTATGGTGGTGGTCATAGGACACCAAGGATATATCTTGCCTGTGAGAGAAGTGGTCAATACAGAGCTCATAAGAAATTAAAAGGAGATGATTCAAATAAAAAAATTGTGAAGATAACGGGTACAAAAAAATACTGGTGTCCTTTTGAGTTGAGGGCTCGTAAGTTGATGGCTGATGATGATTGGATGATAGATGTAACATGTGGAATGCATAACCATGCTCCTGCTAAACATTTTGAAGGGCATTCATTTGCAAGGAGTTTATTTGAGGAGGAAACATCATTATTAGTGGATATGTCCAAAAGCATGGTCAAACCAAAAGAGATTTTGGTTACATTGAAACGAAAGGATGCTTTGAATGTAATCACTATGAAAACCATTTACAATGTACGTCATGGGAATAATGTTATTGAGAAAGCTGGGAGATCACAAATGCAACATTTGTTGGGTGAGTTAGGAAAGCATAATTACATTGAGTGGCATAGGTGTGACAACAATACGATGACTGTCACAGACTTGTTTTGGGCACATCCTGTCAGTTTAGATTTGCTCCGTTCATTTCCAAAGGTGTTGATCATGGACTGCACATATAAGACAACTTGATATCGTCTTCCTCTTCTTGAGATAGTTGGTGTGACATCCACTGATATGTCATTCTCCGTAGCCTTTGTATATTTCCAATTTGAGCGGATTGATAACTACATTTGGGTGTTAACTACATTGCGTAGTCTCTTGGATGACATTGTTATTCCTGAGGTGATTGTCACAGACAGAAAGCTTGCTTTGATGAATGCTATTGACAGGGTATTTTCTACATCTCGACATTTATTATGCCGATGGCATATTAGTAGAAATGTACTGGCGAAATGCAAGAAAATGTTTAAGAGTAAGGAGGAATGGGACAAGTTTATCTCTTTATGAAATTTCGTATTACTCTCCTCAACTGAGCTTGAATACAATGAACATCTTGCTAGGCTACTTGCGGATTTTGATACATATCCTGAGGCAGTGCAATATGTGTCACAAAGTTGGTTAATTCCATATAAGGATAAGTTTGTTGCCGTATGGACAGATAGTTGTATGCACTTCGGGAATGTTACAACCAATAGGTAATATATATTTGTCTACCTTACACTATTACGCATTATGATTTTGATTATTTAAACTTGATTATGTTAATTGTTTCCATTGTACACAAGGCTGAAAGTGCACATGCAAAACTGAAAGTCTCGATGATAGGATGCACAATCCGTAGTGCATGATCAATACGTTGTATTAAGAACAAATAAAATTGTAATTAGCACATGCCATCCTTTAAAAAAAATGTAAACGATGTGTGCGTAATATTGTCATACCTCAGCGTCCTGCACATTAGATCTGCTATCCTGTGCACGTGGGTCAAAACTAGACCGATGTGTGGGGTTCTGGATATATAAGTGTATGATGTTTGCATACCATTGCATGTAACCATCAACACAATCAGTCGGACGTCTGACTGGGATACTCCTCCTCTAAGCAGATAAAACATGATTATCCCAACTCTTCCATATCTGATCAAGATACTGGCACATCACTCTATATCGCCCTGTTGTGACACCTCTAACAGCATGAATAGGGTCGAGTGACGCAGGTGGGATGGTCTGGACCCTACCAAACTATCTAAGAACCCTTTCAGGATGATAGGGTTCAACTACATTCAAACACTTCAAACAGCAGCTGTAAAATGTGATCTCATGACATGGGTGATGTTGACGGCAATCTCGATATGGATCCCAAGTAACCTAAGAGAGAAACACAAATGAAATCTTGATGAGTGACATGGAATAAGAACACTTAATTGATCTAATATTATTTGTTATACCTTATCAAATGCCAATCTGTTAAGCTCCTCCCGTAACGCATATAGGTGTGATACCGTTGAACCAGCTTCTCGACGAGGAGTCCATCGATGCACGTGAGGCAGTTGTATAGTATATTCCATGTTTTGGCGAGGTCTAAATGGCTGGAAATGCTCATAAATCCATGCCTTCAACAATGTCATATGGCTAGCCATTTGTCGAACAGCTGATCTCGTGACAAATCCCAACTGTCTATATAAATATGCCAATGCAGCTGCACCCCAAGCATATGTATGAATATCAGTCACATCCATCAACAATTGCAAGTGCACAACAGGAACTCTCGTCCTACTCTTGTTGCTGAACAGTGTACATCCCAATAGAAATAGCAAATACGCTTTGGCGGCACAAACTATGGACTCCTCGGTGTCTGAATCTTTGTAACCACTGAATTTGCTCCGCAACCACTCCAGCTTCATTGATTGTCCCCTAGCAGATGATAGCTCCTCAATTACTTTAGCATTATCAACTCCTAATGCAGCTACCACAAGTGCATGTGCCTGTTGATCTGTCAAAGTTGTAGCACTAACTGATTTACCTGTGATAAGGATCCCCAAGATGGTACCCACATCATCCAATGTCATTGTCATCTCACCAACTGTCAAATGGAAAGTATTTGTCTCTGGTTGCTATCGTTCAACAAATGCAAAAATGACAATCCTATTCATGAACCGATATGTGCAATGGACCAAAGAAGATAGGCATGACTGCTGCACAATGTCTCTAAACCTTCTATTGTCGGTTCTTGACCACCACCGCCACTCAAGAATCTTGGACGCATGATTATAACACCTTAAGGGATTCCTCTCCTGCAAGGTAATTAATAATTAACATAAATAATGTGGTTTAATAAATAATTAAATGAATGAAACATGGTAAAAATTATGTACTACCTTCTGATCCCATATGGCTGCTGCAATATGTGCCTTGAAGCTCTTCAGTACTGATGGATCTGATGGCCCCGCAGGAAACGGACCAGTGAGTACCTCCTCAACCTGATCAACATCAGCATCATCATCATCATCCCCTTAACCATTATCAATCACATCCTCTTCCAAGATTTGAGGTGTTTCCTCCAACACAATATCATCACCCCGACCCCAACCTCAACCTTGACCTCGGGCACGAGCAGGATTTGTTAATGCACGACGTTGTCTCTTTGAGGTAGTGGGTGGAATACGCGAAGGGTCATCCATTTCTAAAAAATGAAACACAAAAAAATAAAGTTAACAGAAGTAACAATAAAGGTAGCAGAGGTAATGAACTTAAAGAGCTACAAATAAACAAAAAGAAACCAAGTTTAACATAGATGAAGAAATGGGAGATATACACATAAATAAAAATATAAGAAAGGATTTTGGATATTGCAACACCTTATACAAACCAACAAAAATTCCTATTGTTTAAGCCAATCACCTATTGTTTGTATTCTTGTGAGTGTATATACTTTTTATCTTAATTTCTTTCAAATTTGACAACCATAAGACTGATGAACTATTGCTTTATTTCGGGACATATTTAAGATGTATAAAGAAGGGTCCTACCTAATTGGTAGCACATGGTTGTGGAAGGATTGAAGAACATTTTTAGCTAAAAATTTCTATATATGTAATTTAGTATTTCCTATGATAATAGTAGCTGTGCGATTTCATGCATAAATAGAAAGCTTCCTTAGTTTGTCCATTTTTATTTATGTTGCATGGATGTTATTACAAAGGATTTTACTTTAATTGTATATAAATCCATCCCATAGATTCAATGTTCAGAGCTAAGCCTTCCAGCGCGATATGCCAACTTGGAATTAAGTTATTACTGGCTTAGTTTTGACAAGAAATGACATCTCTGATCTTTTAGATGAGATGGTTATTTAACATGGTACCAGAGCAGCCAGATCTTAACACCCAAACCATCACTTCCCTCATAAAAATACACATTCACGAGATTGGTCTACACATGAGGGCTTGACTCCTTCACAATTGTCATTGGTTTTGCTTCAACTGCTTCACTATGTAAAATGGTTTTGATTCATTGAGCATCTGCTTAGATATCATTGTCTACATGGCATTGGTGATGAGGCTTGTTAGAATGCAACATACTAATAGTTTTCAAAAGTAAATTGAAATTCGGGTGAAAGCTGAAGTTGAAGGATGCAACATAATGAACTTCTATTTTACCTTTGATCAAATAATACTTATAGTCTAAGTCCATTCTTCAGGTTCAAGGTCCCTACTGAATTCAAGTATTACTCACTGGTCAAAGACAAATATTGTCAATGTTCTAAATTAATTTCATCTGGAGAAAAGATGACCACAGTTTGGATTGTTACTTATTTTAATTATTTTCCTTTTTATATTTATTTGTTATTTTTTAGGTTAAAGGTGGGAAGAATCTGATGATGCCTCTTATTAGTATTGTTGTGAGATTGTAACAATTACAATTCACATGATTATAGCAATGGTTACTATCTATTCTTGCAATGAACAAGAGATTTTTGTAGTTTTAGATTTGTTCTACCAGACTTGATGTAGACAACACTTTTCTTTATAGGCCTACAAAGTGAGACTAATTTTTCACCCTAGAGAAAACCATGCACATGGACACACTGCCATCTATTTAATAGAGAGTCAACAACAATGCGAGCAAGACAAAAAACATAACATAGACTTGAATACAGAAAACACCTAAATGGATAAGATTTTAAAAAATTTATCGATGAAGTCTGTTTTTCAAAAATCTTATTCATTTATTTATTTGCTTTGTTCGATTCTACATTTAGTTTTTGTGTTCATCAATTTCTATAAACATATATTGGTTATATCAATTTATTAGAAACTTTCCCAATGTGGGGGAAAAAAAAAATATACTGTTCGACAGTCAAGAATCGAATAAACTGATTTGGTTTGAAATTCAAGTGTCGAACAAGTTCGACAATAACAAGCAGGACAAACTGATTTGGTTTGAAATTCAAGTGTTGAACGAGCCCGTACAGCTTTTGGGGTTCGAAATTACAATGTCGAACGGTTTGGAACTAATTCATTCATGGCAATGGTAAAAAATACATAAAACCCTAAAATCTATGCGAAATGAGAACTCACCTACTGCTTTACTTGAGCACCAATGACGTCTTCACCACTGCTTAACTCTGTGTTGAGCACCAACACAGTGTTCATCGGTTGAAACTGAGAATGGAGGGGGGAAGATGGAAGAAGGTGGGCGTGCGGGGGTGTGTGAGTGAGTGAGGGTAAATATGGGAGTTTGTGTGTATATTGTTGTGGATGGGTGTGTGTGTGAGGATAAATATGTAAATTTGTGGTGTGTGATGAGTAAAATATATATTTATATAAATTATTAAAGGTGTGTTTTTAGAAGTGGTTTGCCTTGAGATAAATTAAGTTGTGTAAATAGAGGCACCCGTAAACTACATATAACCCAAACCACAATGGGGTAAAGTGAAGTTTACCCAAAAAAAAATTTAAGATTTGAACCTTGTAACTAGGATTGCAAATGAAGCGAGTTGTTTAGGAGCTTGGCTCAACTCGATTCATTGAGTAAATAAACAAGTTCGAACTTGATTTTTAAACTTGTTTTAGTAAACGAGCCAAACTCGATCTCAAATTGGGGTTCGAAATTACAGTGTCGAGCGGTTTGGAACTAATTCATTCATGGCAATGGTAAAAAATACATAAAACCCTAAAATCTACGCGA